GCCATTGCACGTAATACTGTTATTTCTTTATGCCTATCACTACGTCCGTCCGCTCATACAAACTACATTCACCCAGACCTGCAGTTCTTTTCGGACTCTTCTGGTGTTGGACGAGTCACGGACGATCCCCATCCTGACACGACTCGTCGCGTCTGCGTTGTGCATGTTGATATTATTTTATTTTTCTTAACTGTGTTGTGCTCAGTGTACTCTCGTATGGCTTACTCCCTTGAATCGTAACAGCACCGGCGTACACCACCGCCACGAGGAAGTGAGGTACTCCACTCCTATTCACATTCTGTCCGAACTCATTCACACACACACGCTCACACTCACACGCGTCCTGTCACACACACACACACACACTCTCTGACGACACACACACACACACACACACACACACACACACACACACACACACACACACACACACACACAACCAAACCCCAAGTCGATTTGTTTTCATATACATAAATTTCTCCATTCCCAACAACAAGAGTTGTTTCCGTGGTGTAGTTGGCTATCACATCAGTCTAACACACTGAAGGTCTCCGGTTCGAGCCCGGACGGAAACACATCGTCCTTTTTTTTTTGTTTGTTTATGTACGTGTTTGTGTTCTCAGATCATCCCCATCCCTCCTATTTCTGCGGGCCCATGCAGCATGTCGTCCTCTTCCTCGCTCTCCCTGGACGTGCATCACTGGGGGCTGGTTGCACGTCATCTAGACAACGTGCTGGACGTGTTTGCGCTGAGCAGGACATCCAAGCGCATGTTTGATGAACTGGTGTATCAGGTTCCAAAGCACTCCATCGCCACAGATCCGCCCGTCCGCGGCTCGCAACCAGGCCTACTCCTCCGCTGGGATCGACCTCTTCTGCCCACTCACCGCAGCAGTGATGGCGGTGATTGCGGTGATTGCGGTGATGGTGGTGGTGATGGTCAGAGAGCTAAGAGGCCTAAGAAGGAACAGAGGCGCAGCGGAGGCTCATCACACCGTCGAACTCCCGCCCTGCCCGTCGACACCGCCAGCAGACGCCACCAACACTACCAACAACCCAGTGCAAGCACATCCGGCTCAACCTTGCCCCAAGCTTGGGTGCGGTCAGAGGAGGAGGAGGATTCGCAGCCAGCAAAGTCAATCAGATCCCACCCGCACGCAGGCGGAGATCCGCGACTGTTGGCGCCGTGGCCAGAGGCGGCGTATCCACTCTTTGATCGCACAACAGACATGAACGACATTGTCTTTAATCGCCAGCGGCTGTTTGCCTACGCGTGGATTGGCCTCTGGATCAACCCTTGTGCCATGACAGAAGCAGAGCTCGCGTGGCTAGCAGCGGATCCCCGATGCAGCTCATCCGTGCGCTTCTACCCGCTGTGGCCCGATCGCCGCCTGCACATGTACATCGGGTGCGCCTGCGTTGCCCTAGGCACCGTATCCGAGAGCACGCTCAGCTCCATGATCCCAAATCTCTGCAGCAAACACATTCTTTGTGACACTGCAGACACCCCAACTGTTGCCGCTGCCGCCGCATTGGGCGCACTGCCTGTTCACGCCAACGAACTTCAACTCTGGCCCCATGTTGACACGCGTGAATCAAACGCGATGCTCGACATGATGGCAAGGTGCACCAGCGTGACACGCGTCACCCTGCAGCAGGCATCAGCACGTGCGCTGGAGCTGCTGCACTGCGTCCTGCGCTCTCGCGTGCGATTGGGCCTCCCGCCCATCCAGCAATTGTCTCTACGATCGAACCCGCTCTTCCAGACCCTCCGACCACCCCGGACCGTGTCAAACCTTGGCAACGTGCAGACGCTGCGCGTCCTGGCTGCCGGCGTTGAGGAGGTCTCCAACATTTACGATGTCGAGAAGCTGGAGCTTGCTGCTGACAGCCTGCGGCGCGTGGCGCAGCTGACCAACGTGCGCATGGTCACCCTGAGCGTGCGCCGACGGATGGATCTGGGCTGCCTGCGTGGCGTCCAGCGCGTTGTGCTCAACTTTGTTCACACAGACGCCGACGTTGACATGGACCTCAGCCTTGACCTGCAGCCGCTTGCACAGGCGCAGCACGTGACACTCAGTAGCGGAGCGTCCATCACGAATGAGACGCTGGGCCCCTTGGCGTGCGTGCCGAGTGTCCGTCTCACCAACCTGCAAGGGTTGACAAGTGTTAATGCACTGGTGGACGTGGAGGAGCTCCATCTCAGTGCATGCGATTACGTCGTCTCTGTTCCCAACCTCCCCCGCTGCAGGCACCTGAGTGCAACCGACACGCAGCTCCTTCCTTTGCTTCGCCGTGCAGGTCGCACTCTTGCAAGCGAGGAGGAGATGTTCCCACATCTGGAGCACCTGGTGCTGACAAGAGCAGAGAGAATGACATGGCCCAGCCACACACACGTTGACCTGACACCACTGCAGCGGCTGAGGAAACTACAGTCGCTGACAGTTAGAGTTGAGTTCTGCAGTGAGAATTATGCTGGCTTGGAGAGCCTGGTCCCGACCCTTCGCTCGTTGAAGCTTTACGCATCACACGCAAAGCTGCTGACACCAGCACACGCCCATCTCACCAGCCTCAACGTCAGCGACCTTGTGTATACGCTTGACGTGTCGCTGCTGCCGGCTCTTCGCCACCTGACTGTGTCTGGCGCGCACTCCTTGGTCGTGTCGCTCGTGATGGCGGCGCCGATGGCTGACCCGCCAGTCGTGAAAGGTGTTGCTGCACACAGGCACTTGCAACGCGTGAGCTGTTCGCGTGTGCTGCTCATGGATGAAGCCGGTGAGTTGGAGGGCAAACAGGGAGGGCGAGGTGGCGGGGATGATGAGAACGGCATGCATGAGACTGGAGACGAACGCACAGGGCACACGCATCACGATGCTTGCGTTGATGATGATGATGACGACGACGACGACGACGGCAAAGGCGATGCGCGTGACGAGCAAGAAGAGCCCGGTGAGCGAGCTGTAGGTCTGAATGAAGATAATGACGGTAGTGGTGGTGGCGATGACGGAGGCAGCGTGGGCGCCAACTGTGGCAAGCAACGTCGGCGTGGGAGCAACAGGAACGAGGTGGTGCTTGACGGATTAGCGGAGGCGAAATTGTGCAATGTGCAAGGACGTGTATCGCTCGTGAACACGCGCAAGGTGGAGCTGACAGCGTGCTCCAAGCTGCGCCTGAATCGGGTACATAACGTGAGAGAGTGCACGCTGAGCGACTGTGACCTGTCAATTTGCGAAGACCTGTCTTTCTCCAACGTACACACGCTGCACCTAAACAAGTCAAAGCCCAGTGACTTTGCGTGCCTGTCGCAGGTGCATCGCGTCGTGGTCGACACTAAACAGGAGTTGCTTGCAGGCACGTGCGAGCGACTTGCAGACACGATTGGGCCTGGCACACGCATGGTGAAGGTGACTGCGGCGTCCAAGCGTGTTTACGAACCACACAGGCCGCGGTTGACTGTGTGTGCACATGACGCCGCCGGCGACAACGATCTCAAGACCCGCCTGCGCGCACGCGCACGTGATTACCGCGAGGAGACTGCACCGTGAACGGTGTGTGTGTGTGTGTGTCTGTCTGTGTGTCTGTGTCTGTGTGTGTCTGTGTGTGTCTGTGTGCGACAGAGAGAGAGAGAGAGAGAGAGAGAGAGAGAGAGAGAGAGAGAGAGAGTGTGTGTGTGTGTGTGTGTGTGTGTGTGTGTGTGTGTGTGCGTGTTTGCGCGCGCTCGCTCGAGCACACGTTACCTGCCCGCCCGCCGTTTGTGCGCTTCTGCCACAACCCAATGCTGGAAATGAAGAAAGAAAAAAATGCTGTATTGCTTTTGTAACTCATAACAGAGGACATGAGAACGAGGGCCACGCACTGCACACTGCACTCTGTACCTCCCGCAATGTTGCACGCACACACACGCACACACATACACACGCGCGCCATGACAATGAACACACCAAAGCAAACAAAACATCAAGACGTAGACAGACACATTGTCATTCGCTCCATGCACTCACACCATCAACGGCACTCACGTGTACACACATCTGCCACACAACATGAAGACTTTCTCTAAGCTCCAACAGGGACACGCCACTGACAAGCAAGCGGTCGCTCACGCACAATCACACACGAACACCAACAGGCAAATGAACAAGCATAAAGCGGAAGGAGGGAAGAAAGGGTGATGGGGAGAAGGAGAGGGAGAGAAGGGCAGGAATGGAGGCGTTTACTTGCGCTTGAGGGTCTTGAAGAGCTCTGCTTGAAGGTCCTTTTTGAGTCCTTCGGACGACAGCGGGTTGACGGAGCGGAGCGAGTTGACAACATCCTTTGTCTTGCCAAAGTAAATCTGGTCGAGCGTGTTGCGCATGTTGTTCTCCATATCCTCCACCATGGTGCCGATGTTGGCAATGTGCGGGCTGCTCTGCGACACCGTCAGCGTCTTCTCCGCCTGGCGCGTCAGCGAACCGCCAAGCTGCATCATCCCGCTGGTCTCTTTGTTCGTCTGCACACGGCACATGTGTGTGTGTGTGTGCGTGTGTGTGTGTGTGTGTGTGTGTGTGTGTGTGTGTGTGTGTGTGTGTGTGTGTGTGTGTGTGAAAGAGGAGTGAGACGGGACACAACCAAACTTTGACACAAAGAACGAAGACGCCGTTATCCGCCCAAACAAACACACACGCGCACACGCACACCCATACCCACACACACACACACACGTCCCGACACGCACCTCGAGCCAAAGCATGACGGTTGAGGTGAGCTTGTATGTGGCGTTGGAGCCGCGGCTGGTCTCCTGCACCTCAAACACGTGGATCGAATCATAGCAGCCCTTGATCTTCTTCGAGCCATCGCCAACTGCGATGGTGGTGTGAGTGTGTGTGTGTTAGTGTGTGTGTGTGTGGATGTGTGTGTGTGAGGAAATGCGCGCATGTGCATGCATGTGGGGTGGGGTGACAAGGAGGCAGAAAGCGGTTGCGGTGCAGTGCAATGCAATGCAATGCACGCAGCAGTAAACGCGTACACATACACACGCACACGCACACGCCCACGAGGTGGACAGCATTCGACTCAAAACCCACCCTTCTTGATGAGGATGACGCCTGCAAAGCCCTCCTGCAGGTCCCACAAGTACACGGAGGAAACACCGCCCTCATAGTACAGCTCGCGGTATGTGTCAAAGGCCTGGTTCGCCTGCATTGGTCGGGGGCAGTTGTGGGGGTGGTTGTGGGGGGGGGGTTGTGTTAGTGACAACGGCGACGAGGATGGTGGCGATGGTGAGTCGATGACAGAAGGAAAGCAGCCCGTAGACAGACACACATGCACACAGGTACAAGTACGCACACACACACACACACACACACACACACACACACACACACACCTGGATCTCGAGCTCGCGAAGAGAGTCGGAGGGCACAGCACCATCCTCCAGTGGAGGATCGTACTTGTTGGACCATGGTGACCTGACGCATGATGGCGTGAGGAGCGGAGGCATCAACAATTGGTGCTGCCAACTCATATTCGCCCACTCGAGAACAGGGCTTGCAGCAAAGACACAACTTGAAACACGTACACACGCAAAAACGACACTCCAAAGCGTACACACACACACACACGTTGCTGTACAAGACAGTTGCAGCACCTGTATGAGTCGGCGTCGCGGTTGTAATCGCAGAGAAGGTAGTCGCGGCCGCTTGCCTCGTCCTTGGCAATCTTCAAGGGCTGATCAATGGACGACAGCAGCTCCTCGCACAGGCTGGGAACCTGCGAGAATACACCAACACGCACACACACTATGTGATTCACAAGCCAGCATGCAAGGTCACAAAGACATTGACACAAACTCCCTCACACATCCCTGCTGACGAGCGGTCCACAGTGCACTTCGTCCGCCACCACAGTTTCTTTTCAGGCACATGTGTTGCGACGCACCAGGTCAATGACACCCGTCAGGTTCTCCTCAATGTTCTGGGGAGGAAGGCGGCGCATCAGATCCAATGCGCAGTCCAATTGGCGCTCCGTCTGGCACGTTCGCACACACACACACACACACACACACACACACACACACACACACACACACAAACGCAGTTCAGCGAGCACGGTGAGCGCCATGTCCTCGTCGCTGCTGCAATCACGGTCATTGAAACACAAACAAAACTCTCTACACAATGGTGATAGACAGACACACACTCAGACTCACAGACACTGGATCAAGACGCTCCATCGTAGCAAAGAAGGACACGCGGCTGCGTGGCCTATGTGTACCCTCGTTCTTCACATCCGCAATCACAGCACCGCCGCCGCCATCGCTGACAGAGCAAGCCCTCCCTCACTGCGCTCACCATGTTTGGCTGTCTTGTGTGTGTTGGAGAGGCGGTGCTGACTTGGGTTGCTTGTCGTCGTCTTTGCTGTTGCTCTGAGCTGGTGAATCCAAACAGGCAAGAAAAGCTGCGGAAAACACCCAAGACAATTCGGCATCGAGGAATTGATTGTGGGGCCGCCAGCCAATTTGTGGGAGGGCAAAATTGACTTTGCGCTGCCATTGTCAAGTTTGACCTAATGTAAACCAATGATGATGATGGGAAGGAGGACAACGAGTCGGGCTGCACGCTGGCAGCAGATGCAGATGCTGCTGCGGTCACTGGACCGACACTTGCACACCAGCAGCGGCACCAGCAGGTGTTGGACGAGTGGTGTCGTGTCTGCGCGCAGCTGTGGCCAAAGGAATGTGAGTGGAAACAGGCGTACGGAGTTGCCACAACAACAACAACAACGACAACAGCGAAGACAAAAGCATCGGGTGAGCTGAGCTGGCTGCACGTGTGCGTCGCGCGCGTATGACATTGCGATGATTTGAAACAAGCAGTGGTGCTGTCCTGATCCTTGACTCCATCTTCCACCACACTCACCTTTACTCACTCACTCACTCACTCACACACACACATGCGCACATGCACACACGCACTCACTCACTCACACACACACACACTCACTCACTCACACGCACACACGCACTCACCCACGCACACACACACACATGTTTGCAGCTGGTGAAGGGAACACGGGATGTGATGCCAGGCTTGCAGCGTGAGTTCAGCTTTGTGTATCAGGCGCTTCAGGAAACAGCTCACGCTTACAACTACAGCGAGGTAGAAGAAGGAGCTGTGTATCTCATCATGACCACACACACCCAAACAAACACCCAAGTAGACAACGCGCACCAACTCACACACGTGTGAACCCCGCGCTGCTTTCTTCTATTCATGCAAAGTAAGATGCGGTGCTGACACACGCTGCTCGCTGCCTCGCCCGCTTGCTTTGCACTGTGTGATCTTGCAGATGAGTACACCGATAGTTGAGTACAGCGAGCTGTTCCAGCGATCCCTCGGCGCAACCTCAGACGTGGTCAACAAGGAGATGTTCGCATTCCAAGATGCAGACGGCTCCAACGTCTGTCTCCGCCCAGAAGGAACTGCCGGTGTGTGTGTGTGCGTGTGTGCGCGCGCGCGCGTGTGTGTGTGTGTGTGTGTGTGTGTGTGTGGCCAATGCGAGTGTTGATGGTGCATGCGAGTGTTTCCAATGCCCACATTCAAGCGTGTTAGAGGCTGATGGTTTTTTTTTTTTTTGGGAATCCCCTCGCCTTGCATGCGCTGCTGTTGTGGCCAGGGGTGACACGGGCTGTGATCCAGAACTTGGCCGGGGAATCTGTGCGGCAGCGACTGTTTTACTTTGGGCCCATGTTCCGCCGTGAGCGCCCGCAGAAGGGCCGATATCGACAGGTGCGGCACGCATGCTGTTGAAACTTGATGACACCCGTTACTGGACGGGACTGGACAACCACAGCAGCATGTGCCACCTTCCATACCATTCACAAAGGTTATTCACAAACACACACACACACACATGCGTGTGGATGTTGCAGTTTTGGCAGGGCGGGGTGGAGTGCTTTGGGAGCGCGTTGCCAGTCACCGACGTCGAATGCATCGCCTCCGCACGCGATTTCCTCTGCTCGCTCGGGCTCGACAGTCACGTCAAGGTGCGTGCAGTTCAGTGTTGTGTGTTGTAGGGGAGAGATAGAGAGTGTGCGTGTTGTTTGTGTGTGTAGTGTGTGTGTATGTGGTGTATATATGTGTGTAGTGTATGTAGTGTGTGTGTGTGTGTGAGAGCAAATGATGTCAAGTATTGAATGAGCCATGTGGTGGTGTGTCCACAATATTGCTTCTCCTCACCAATCGCCCCTGCCGCTGCGCTTCTGTCATTCGCAGCTCGAGATCAACAGTCTATTTGACGCGGACACGCGCGCAAAGCACCGCACGGCCCTCACCAGCTACTTCCAAGGTGCCGATCATTGGGGCTTTCGTGGTTGTTACTGCAACGGGGATACACATATACACACACACGCACGCACTTGCTCGCACATCCACGCACTTGCTCACACACATACGTACTCACGTGCACACATCCACACAAATATGCTCACACATACGTACTCACGTGCCCACACACACACACACACACACATGCACAACACACAATTCAATACAACTGTCTAGAGCACCGGGCGTCGTTATCGCGCGCGAGCCAGGAGCGTTTGGACGGTGGAAATCCACTCCGTATTCTGGACAGCAAAGACAGCGGCGATCAAGTTCTTGCCGCACGTGCCCCGCGCATGGCGGACTTTGCGTCCAGCGAAGGCCTTGAGAGGAAGGAGTGCGTCCTTGATGGTCTTCGTGCGCTGGACATTCCGTTTAGCGTCAACGAGCAGCTTGTACGGGGGCTGGACTACTAGTGAGTGTGTGTGTGTGTGCGCGTATGTGCGTATGTGTGTGTGTGTGTGTACATGCATAATGTGTTTTGAACATTGTTCTTCATGCATGTTTTCTTTGCTTCGCACAAACACACGTACACACACACACACACACACACACACACACACACACACACACACATACGCACCTACACACACACACACACACACACACACACACACACACACATACGCACCTACTACCAGCACGCACACGGTGTGGGAGTTTGTGACGACGGAAGGGCTGGGTGCGCAGAACACGGTGCTCGCTGGCGGTCGATACGACCAACTCGCCACCATCCTCGGATCAAAGCGGCAAATCCCGGTATGGTGTGCTGTGCTGTGCTGTTTGTTTGTTCTGGTTTATTGGGGAAAACTCGCTGAAATCTTACACTGTTCCCAGCGCTCAGAGATGGGGAAAGCAATTGCGGCAAACAAAGGGCAATGTTTGTTTGTTTGTTTGTGTGATCCGCGTCTTCAAGCAGCAGCTCTCGGCCCCTTCTCTTCATGCATCCCTCACCACCACTCACCGCCACCACCACCACTATCAGGCCATCGGATGGGCGTGCGGGGTTGATCGACTTGTGCTGCTCCTGCAGGAGTGCAACGTCTCTCATCCGCCGCCACCGCCAACAGCAGCCGTCATCGAGGTGTGTGTGTGTGTCTGTATGTTTGTGTGTCTGTGTGTCTGTGTGTCTGTGTCTATGTGTGTGGGTCTGTGTGTCTGTGTGTCTGTGTCTATGTGTGTGGGTCTGTGTGTGTGGGTGTGTTCATGATCGCTTGTTGTACGTGTGCATGTTCATGGATTATGTTGCTTGCATCAATGTCAGTCTCACCCAAGCACAAACACATCGCATCACGCCAATACGTTTGTTGTAGATCCACGACCAGCCAGCTTCTTCCGCCACCACCACCTCATCATCATCATCATCATCATCTTCATCATCGTCGTCATCGTCATCATCATCACCACTGCCGGAGGTGTCACGCTTCGCCCTCAGCGTTGCGCATATGTTGCGGTGTCGTGGTGTTTCCACGACACACACGCACGGCGCCCGCGTCAAGCAGCAGGTGGGCGTCTGGCTGCCGCGCGCTGCATATATGTTGCATTTGTTTTGTGTTGTGTGCGTGTGTGTTTCAGCATGTTTCGTCAGGTGTGCTTTAACAACTCACGAGCAGGCACACACACACACACACACACACACACACGCACGCACACGCACACACACACACACACACACACACACACACACACACACACACACCATCAATGTTTCCGTGCTGCTGCTGCTACTTCTGCTGCTGATGATAATGATGACGTCACATTTCAGATCAAGGAGGCGCTACAACAAAACGTTTCGTATCTCGTATTCATCGGAACCCAAGAAGCACAGGCGGGCAAGGTGTGGTGTGGTGGTGTATGCGCGTGCGTGTGCTTGCTTGCTCGCTCTTTGTTGCGCCTTCTCGTTTCGGTGTGTTTGCGTGTCATCCTCTTGTCACGTTCACTTCTGGCCATCGTATGCACGACTTGATTTATCCCCCACCGCCGAATGCCTTCCGTGCCATTCTTGTCCACCTCTCACCTCACAATCCAGGTGCGGTTGAAGAATGTTCAGACCGAAGAGCAGCACGATCTGGATCTAAACGCCGCCGTGGCGCTCATGGACGGGCACACACGCAATCAATAGCACTGTGGAGCCAGCATGATCGAGACGTGCGCGCTGTGTGTGAGTGTGTATGGTGTGTGTGTGTGCTTGGAGCACCAAGCAGCCACTTGCATTGACTAGTTTGCTCATTGTTCCTTCTTCCGCTTCAATGGATTATGTGTGCACATCTGAGAGAAGAAACTAGAACAGAGCGTGGCAACAGCGCAGTGATTCGACCGAACAGCGGATGGAGAGTCAGGATGATAAGAAGGAGGCACACACACAGACATACACAGACATACGCACACATACACGTGATGGCCAAGTGTGTCATACTGGTGGGTGGGATGTCTTGGCAGATGTGTCAATGTAGGCGCTGTTGTTGTCATTACCACCATCAACACCAGCTTCACCACTACTGTCACCAATCACACACACCACCTCATCCCCATCATGTTGTTGTTGTTGTTGTTGTTGTTGTTGTTGTTGTTGTTGTTGTTGTTGTTGTTGTTGTTGTTGTTGTCCTGTTGTCTGCACTTCAGCAAACACCACTTCGAGATCTACATGTGTGTCAGTGGGACGTGATATGAACGCAAGCCAGTCGTGAGCGGTGAGAAACCAAACAAACGAAAAGGGAAGGCAAACGAAGACGCGTCGCACCAACCATGTATTGCCCTCACACACATACACAAACAGCACGCACATGCACATTCGAACGCATGCGTATGTATTCGCACCTTGCGTGGTTGCTGTCTGTTGCTGCTCCTCTGCCCCTTCATGCTGCTGTTGTTGTTGCTGAGGTGGGAGTGCACGCGTTGTCTTTTCGCGTGGAATCAAACGCACAAAATCCTTCGGGATCAACCTGCACGCGTGCGTGGCGGAGGTGGTGGTGGCGGTATTATCAGATGCATGTGTCGTTACAGATGAGTGTGTGTGTGTGTGTGTGTGTGTGTGTGTGTGTGTGTGTGTGTGTGCGTGTGTGTGTGTGTGTGTTGGTGGCGCTGGTGCTTCAACAACACCTTGTTTCAGCCCTCATCGCCATCCCCTCCTGCGACGCGTGTTATAGGATGCTGCGTGCACATACCCCTTTGATCCGTCCTCCGCCTCCGCCGTCACCCAGCCCTCGGGCTCGCTCTTTGGCGGGTACACCGTCTGGTTGGTGATGGTGATGGTGATGGTGGTTGGAGTTGTTGTTGGCGTGGTGAAAGTTGTGGAAGCGGTGATTGTGAAATCAAAACAGCAAAGTGAGCGCGTGTGAACAGAAGGGGTGCCGCAAACAGGTCTCGCGCTTCGCGTGCACATGTGTACATGTACAGGCACAAGCAGCTGTGTACACACGTGATGTCATACGCACCACGATTGTGTCCTTGACGATGGTGAGCTCATCGTTCTTCTGCGCAGTGTAATCCCACGCCACACGCGCACGCACAGGCCGGCGGCTGTCCCTACACAGCAGATGCGTGTATGTGTGTGTGTGTGTGTGAGGAGAGTGCGTCAAGTGGTGTGGCGTGATGGATGTGGAGGACATGGTGGTGACAGTAGCGTCATGCGTGCATGCAGGCACAGGACAAGGAGAGAAACAACACGAGCAAGCTCAGAGACGGACTTGCGGCCAGCCAACACACTGACGTTCATGCACACACACACACATTGACGAACTTCTTCTGCTTGCGCATCATGGAGTACACGACGAGCGGGCTGCCAAAGACGAGTGCGAAGAACACAATTAGCGGCCAGGGGAAGCGCCCGCCGCTGTCGCCATGGTGATGTGACAAGAGTGATGATGGCGATGTGATGGCCATGAGTGAGTTTACTTGGCTGATGCTGCTCTACTGAGGTGTCTGCGTGCGTATGTGTGCATGAGCGTGACTGCTGTTGTGTATGCGCAAGGTGCTTTAAACGCAGAAGCGATGTCGGTACCTCTGGCCGTTGGTGGTGGGCAGGGTGTCCGGTTCAAGCTGCCAGGACCAGTCAAATGAGTGCATGTGGCACAGCGTATGTGAGAAGGGAACGCGAGCAGCCAACGTACGCACACACACACACACACACACACACACACACACACACACACACGAACACACACACACACACACACACACACACACACACACACGAACACACACGAACATGAACGCACGAGAAAGGCGGGCGGGGTGAGGCGGAAGAGGCGCATGAGCTTGGCGATGATGCGCTTGAGGAAGCGGAGACGAACAAGGGACTTGAACACACTCAAGAGCTGCTCCTTGAGCTGGTCCATATGGTCGGCGACGCTGACAACAGCCATGAACGAGCTGTACAGGGCGTCATATGAGGACTCGAGCATGGCGGCGACAGAGCTGACGGCGAACACCAGCCGCTCCACCGTCTCAAAGGCGCCGCGCCCGCCCTCCTGCATCTGCTGGAACAGGGACCCGTCCGGGCCGTCCCTGGCATGGAGGTGGAGAGGATGGCAGCATGAAGCAGCGTGTGTAAGCGTGCGGAGACAGAGCGAGCAACAGACAGAGAGAGACAGAGAGCGAGTGCGTGTGAGTGTGTGTGTGTGTACACAGACACCCACCGACACCCACACACACCCACACACACACTCACATACACACACACACACACACACACACACACACACACACACACACACACACAAAGATAGACACACACACACACACACCTGTATGAACCGTAGCCGAAGCGAGCGTGATGAGGGTGGTACCCGCCATATGAGTTGTAGTACGGGGAAGCGCCGCCAAGGCCGTTCATGAACCGCATGCCACTTGTTCCGCCATATCCCCGCGTGGGCACTGGTGGTGGCAATGCCTGCTGCTGCTGGCGTCGCTGCTGCTGCTGTTGGTCATTGGGGATGCCAGTGGCTGTGGCTGAGGCTGAGGGTGGCGGTGATGGCAGCACGGGCGCAACACTGGATGCGCAACGAAAAAGGACAGAGAGAGACAGAGACAGAGAGAGCGAGAGAGACAGACAGAGACAGAGACAGAGACAGAGAGAGCGAGACAGAGAGACAGACAGACAGAGAGAGCCAGACAGAGAGAAAACGTGAGCGTGGGATGAGAGACCACACACACACACACACACACACACACACACACACACACACACACACACACACACACACACACACACACACACACACACACACACACACACACACACACACAGGGCGTCACCATCACCAGCAAGCACTGCAGCTGCTTGGTCTCCTCCTCCTCCTACCTTGCTGCATGCCCGCTGCCAGCCACTTCCCACGGCTTTGGTGGCGAGGCCATCACACGCGCACTGACTGGTGTTGTTCTTGCGGCGGTGGTTGTGCAAAGTGTTGTTGGAGTTGGTTGTGTGTTCCCTCAATTCGTTCCACTTGTCCATGCATGCACGGATTCATTCATTCAATCATTCATTGGCGAGAGCACGCGAGTGAACGCCCTCTTCTGTGGACACGAGCGAGGCAACAGCAAGAGCAGGGAGGCAGGAAGAGGGGGGGGGGAGGACATGGCATGGCAGATTACACGTCCTCTTCCTCCTTCACATCATCATCTTCTTCTTCTTCTTCATCGTCCTCATCATCATCATCATCATCACCACCATCATCATCGTCATCATCATCATCGTCCTGCTGTTCCTCCTCTTTCTTTGGTTCCATCTTTGCCTTCTTCGGCACGTTGGCCGATGCGAGCGCTGCCCACATCACATCGTCTTCATCCATCTCCTCCCCATGGCCTTCCTCTGCCTTCACAGCTGCTTCCTCCTCCTCCTCTTCGTCGTCCTTTACAACCACCTGCCAGTCCAACCCCAAAGCGCACACATACACCATATCAGGATCGGGTACAAACGCGCGCACATACACTTGCAAGCCACACACACACACACACACACACACACACACACACACACACACACACACACACACACACACACACACACACACACGCACGCACGCACACGTACACGCACACACGCACCTTGTCTTCACTGGTGAAGAGGACGTGTTCAATGCGCTGCTTGAGGAAGACCTTCGTCATGAGCTGGCGCGTCGTCACGTCGTACACACGCACGTGTCGATCCAGTCCTCCAACAGCGACAAACGGCAGCACCGGGTGCAGGGACACGCTGCGCACAGCGCCGACGGGGCCGTGGAACTTGCCAATCGACCGCCCTGGTGTATCGTGTGTGTGTGTGTGTGTGTATTGTGCGTGTGTGTGTATGCACGTGAGCAAGGAAGCATAGAACGTCTATCTCACAGCTCACATAACATTCTCAAGTTCAAACACACACAAACACACACACACACACAAACACACACAAACACACACAAACACACACAAACACACACATACACATGGGCGGTGCCACTCACGTGCGCGCATGTCGAAGAGGTGCGTGTGTCCGAGCGCATCGCCAGTGATGGCGTGGCTGGTGGTGGTGGTGACAGAGCATGGGGAGGGGAGGGCAGCGTGAGAGCCGACTTGGTGGACAATGTGCAGCCGTGGTTGCGTGGGAGCATGCGGTGTGGTGCGTGGCGTCGATGCCTTCAACACACACATTAACACGCATGCATGCACACACACACACACACACACACACACACACACACAACAACACACACACACACACACACACACACACACACACACACACACACACAAACACATGCACCACACCCCCCCCCCTCTGCATACATGTGCTCACCGTCCGTCGTTTGTGAGGGCGACGCAGTTCAGCGCGGCCTCGGAGTAGACGGTACTGCACACACACACATACGCACACGTGAACGCATGAACGTGAACGCATGAACATGAACATGCGCACAAGGACAAGTATGAACTCGTTGAAGAACACCAACAGAGCGTACGCACACGCACATATATACGCACACACACGCACACATATATGCGCACTGCGCAGATATTTACACATGAAACGCGCTGCGCATTCGCAGGCCGCACCTGAAAATAGGCCGCTGTTTCACTCTGCTGTCGTAGATCCGAAACTGTTTGGCGATAAAGGCGGAATCGTACGTGGTGATGTGCACATGAGGGGGACATGAGAGGTGATGAAGTAAGTTAGCAACACCAAGGGATAAGATTGACACCTCTCCACGCTAACACACGCACACACATACACGCATACACACACGCACACACACACACACACACACACACACACACACACACAGATGCATGTACGGACGTGTTTGTGTGCGGAAACGGTGACTACGACGCGATCATCGCTGTTTGGCATAAACGCGACGTCGCGAATGTGCACGGGAACCTGTTACGAACACACATCACGCACACACATATCGCATCACACATCACAGGTGAGGGCGTGAGCAAGAACCGGGATCAAGGCACAGCAGGCAGCAATGTATGCACATGCGTTTCTCATGCGCGCGTGTGCAACTGCTCTGCAATGACCTGGAGGTTCAAGCGGTTGTTCTTGACGTTCTTTGCCTTGAAGATCTGCTTGTCTGTCGAGTTGACGTCCCATATCCTGAGGTCCGCGTCCTGCGGGTTTTCATTGGCGCCAGAGAGCAGGTGAGCACGTGCAGGGACTGGCCGATTCGCAGCTGCAACCAGTAAGCACCGCGCAACGCAGGATGAAAAGTTCAACCGCACACACACACACACACCTTGCCGCCCATGGCGAGAATGTTCTTGTTCTGCAATCCCAACTTCATGCAGCTGCTGCGCACGTGACCCTTGAACGTCGCCTGTTTCATCGCACCGAAATGAGACACAAACCTGAGGCACACGACACACACACATGTTCATTTACACACACACACACACAACACAACACAACACAACAAGAAGGCGCACTCCTTTCTTGTTGCACATACGTGAGTGACCCTTTCATTCCCGCACAAACCGCAAGCATGTGTGCGTACCACAACTTCCGATGGCGCGTTCAGGTCGCGGAGGGTAACCTGACCCGTTGAGCAGCATGTGACAATCCTACAGCACGTCGATACGAGCAGCGTATGAGACTTGGGAATGCCATTCCATGCACGACCAAGTGCAGTGAATTTCGAACCACGCCAGCTCACAATACACACTACGAATGCATGTGTACACATAATGACATACATACACACACATGCTCACACGCTGATCCGTGCGTTCACATACACGCACTATCACACGCACAAGCTAACACGCCCATAAAAACCCACAGCCTCTCTGTTGCAATGACACCTGTTCTCTGTGACGGCAAGCCCTGCGAAGGACTCCACATCCGTCTTGGTCAAGCTAATCGGATGGCGGTTCAGGAAATCCACCTTTTCCAGCTTCTTGGTTGCCAATCCCAAATACACCTACGCACAAATCAAAGTGGGTTGTCGGTCAATGAGCGCAGTGGTCGCTGGCCCTGTGGCGTGCAAGGAAGAAAGCACAGCACAACACAAGGTGCACAACACAGCACAACACAAACACAAGGTGCACAACAACAACACGACACAACACAAACACAAGGTGCACAACAAACAACACAACAACAATAACAACACAACACACCACAACAACAACACATCCCCGAGCCTCACCGTATCATCGGATTGGTGCGCAAAACACATGCGCTGCGACGCCTTTGCCCGGCTCTGCTTGCGCCATTTGCTCTCCACAGCCGTCCGCTCTACTGACACCGTCTTCACCAGCCCTGTCTCGTCGCACGTGACCACCTTCATCTTGGTTGCTTGGTTGCTTGGTTGGTTCGTCTGGCTGTTCGCGGCAACGTGCGTGTGGTCCTTTCCACCCTGTGCTGTGGCTGTGTAGATTATTTACGAATAACAAAGCAAATTGTCCACATTACGAATAGTGATGAGTCAGCAGCAATTTCAAATTTCGCGGCAGCGCAGGTGGGTGACGGTTGTTCAAGGTTTGATGACATCGATGACGAACAAGCAACCAAACCAAGCAAGAGCCTCCATTCACTCAAACACTCAAACACACGCACCCTTCCCTGCGCCAGCCCACACACACACTCTCTCATCGTGAATCACACGCCTCAAGGTCGGCATTGTCATCATCATCACGCACAAGCAAACAAGCAAACAAGCAAACAAGCAACCAAACATCATCACATACACATAGCCTATGACACGCAGCCATCGCTGACTCATCTGCACGCACACAACAATCACACACAGCACCAAACAGAAGCAGTCACAACAGCAGCAGAAGCAATCGCAAGCTGCGGCAGCTTCAGGCTTCCGGAAAAGGGTCCCTCACCTTTGCTTTTCTTTCCCCTCCTTGCATCACACGCCATCTCCATCATCACCAACCACCACCACAGACGACGCAAGGCAGGAAAGAAGACACACACCCACACACGAAGCCAAGCAACCAGCACCAAGCAAGCACCAAACAAGCACCAAGCATTGGCCCGACCTTGTGCTGTGTTGTCAGAGCAGCATCGCATTCATCTGCTACCGTACGCAACCGAGCGAACCCTGTGGCGTGACTTGCCTTGCCTCCTCTGATGTGTTCTTCTCTGGTGAAACAGCTTCTGCCTCTGGTCGATGCATTCGAGCTCCCGCGCTCACCCGACTGATTGCTGTGCTTGTGTCTCTTCTCTTGTGCTGAACAGGAAACCCCACGAAGGATTCATAGCCACGCACACAGACCCCAAGTGCCCACGACACTTCCATTTCCCTACTCCATTCACCAGCTTCAGCTTCACAAAACCCAGCGGTTGGAACATCAATTGATCGTCATCGCCATGGGTGCCAACGCGTCTCGCAGTAGCGCGGCCAAACCAGAGCCCGCCACCCCATCAAAGCATCTTCAAGCACGTCTCATCGACCCTCGATCACCGGTGTGTGTTTGCGTGTGTCTGTGTGTGTGTGTGTGTTGAGGTGCTGTTGTGTCCCTGTCTGTGTGTGTGTGTGTGTGTGTGTGTGTGTGCAAGAAGGTCGCCCACTAGCTCACCCTGCATTGCTCCGTAATGGCTCGCCCTGCATTCCCTTCATCTCATGCCACGCAAATGTGTAGTCGACAACAGTGCCTCGCACCCCGCTGCCCGTCACCTCCGACTACGTAAGCTTCGCTCCACACACAATTCTCTTATCGGGAACACGCATGATTCCCCTCCCTCATAACCTGTCTCGCTTTCTCTTCCAGCTCACACACACACCCACGCACGCACGCACGCACGCACGCACACACGCACACACGCACACACACACACATCTTCCCCACTCTTGCCCGATTGGATGTGATTGTGTGCAGATTCCCATTGAGTCGCGAGACGACTCGCCGCTGCCGTGCTGCGACCTGACAGAGTCGTGTGATGAAGTCGACAGAGCAGGCGAGCGGGCCGCGGTAAACGCCATCATGTGCTCCATGCGTGAGGCGAAGATTGGCCAGAACGCAGCCAACGCGGGTACCAGGCAGCTGCACCCCATCGCAGAGCAAGGCAATGAGGGTGACAATGGGGAAGAGGACGAGGAAGACAGCGCCGAAGCAGACGACTACCACGCCTACGAGGACGCGCCGCAGGACGACCTCGAGAGCCCAACGTTTGCTGCCATTGCAAACGAGGACGAGCGCTCACAATCCTCCATGTACAGTAGCGACTACGAGGACAGCACCGACCAGCAACAGCAAGGGCAGCAGCAGCAGCAGCGGCAAGAAGAGGACGCCACGTTTGTGCCCGCTCCGCTCATCACCCTCAAAACCACAACAAACACCAACAGCCACACAAACGACATCACACGCTCTCCCGGCGCCAAGCGACAGCTCCCATTTGCGGAGCGAACTAACCTCACCCCTCTTCGAGCCCCTAACCAGCAGATGGCGCTGCAAGCTTGAAGATGGCGCTGTTTGCGTGGTGGTGGGGTGACGTGAGGTGGGTGACGTAAGAGTTGAGAGGAGGAAGAGAGAGGGGAAGAGAGAGAGAAAGCCGCGACTGCTGCCTTCTGGTTTTTTTTTTTATGTCGTGTACTGCGTTACAATCCCATTAAATCTTGTTCATTTTTCGATAAGAACGATGGATGTGAGCCGCGAATGGCGCGAAAGTGTGGCGGGGATGGCCGCTGTGCGCAACGCAGCGCGCTGTCGTCTCTGGTGAGTGCGCTCGGTGTACTGTGTGTGTGTCTGTGTGTCTGTGTGTACATGTGTGTGTGTGTGTGTGCGTGTGTGTGTGCGTGTGTGTGTGTGTGTGTGTGTGTGTGTGTGTGTGTGTGTGTGTGTGTGTGTGTGTGTGTGTGCGTGTGTGTCTGTGTCTGTGTCTGTGTCTGTGTGTGTGTGTGTGCGTGCGTGTGTGTGTGTGTCTGTCTCTCTGTCTGTGTGTGTGTGTGTGTCTGTGTGTCTGTCTGTGTGCCTGCCCTGTCTCCCACCTCGCTGCCTCCCACCTTCTCCCTGCCTCCCCTCCTTCTCCCTGCCTCCTCTCCCCTCCTCTCCTCTCTCCTCTCCCTTTCTCCCTGCCTCCCCCTCTCTCCCTACCCCTCTCCTTCTCCCTGCCTTCCCCCCCCATCTCTCTTTCCCGCTTGCTGCTTCCTGCACCTCTTCACCAACCCCACCTCTCTCTATCTCGCTCTCCGCGCTCGCGTCCTCTTTACAGCTGCAACATGCCTGAGGAACCACGCTGTCTCCTGGAGTGCGATCATCTCTTCTGCAAGTGCGTTCAGCGGTACTTGCACACGTCCAAACCACATGCACACGAGCTTACACACGAGTTTGCACCCACGCCAACCTGCAAGCCAGCTTCTCTTCGCCCCCCCCCCTCACACCCCCTTCTCTCCCTTTCTCTCCCTCTGCCTTGACTCGCATCACAGGGAGTGCATCGTTGAAGCACTGGAGGACAACAGCGTGTGTCCCGAGTGCAAGCGGCCCAGCTTTCCCCGTGACATTGTCGAAAGTGACCAGGTTTGTAATGCGTGGCTATGTTGCTGCTTGCCAGCTATGCTGTTGCTAGCAATGTAGTTGCCATTGCATCCATTCGTTGCTCTCTCGCTCTCCCTTTAATTGCGTGCGTCTGGGTGTGCCCACTTGCGCAATTGTCGTGTCGCACACCGTCATCTCTCCTGCTTCCTTCTTCACCCACACTCGCTTGCCTTTCACCTCCCGACACACTTTCCCTCCCAACCCCCAACCCCCCAACCCCCCATTCTCTGTGTAGATTTCGGAGGTGGTGCTGTTTGTCAAGACGATGGAGAAGCTGATGGAGACGCAAGACCCGCCCTCCATCGCCGGCTCCCAACTGAAGCTGGGGAGCGTCCCACCGAGCCAGGCAGGCGACGAGTATGCTGCAATCAGCACCCGCGGAAAGGCAAACAACAGGAAGAATAAGGGGGCCAGGAAGTTGGCAACACAGAACGGCACACGTCGCCGCGGCGCTCCCCTCACAACGGTGACCAACACGGGCGGGGTGGTGAGTGAACGTGCGGATCAGGCACAGCCGACACAGCCGACACAGCCGCGGCGGGTGAAGGCAACGCCCAAGCGAAGCAACAACACCACCACCAGCACCAGCACCGCCATGGCAGAGGAACAAGACGACGAAGAGGGTAGGGCTGAGGAGGAGGGAGGCAGCGGCAGTGGCAAGGCCGCCGGCAGTGGAGGTGGTAAACGTCACAACCGTGGCAAACGCGAAGATGAAGATGAAGGTGAAGAGGATGAACAGGATGAAGAGGATGAAGAGGATGCACGGCCGGTGCGCAGCAAGAGGGCCAAGACGAGTGGGAGTGCAGCAAATGGCAGGACAGCGCGGCACACTGCACACAACAAAGATGGCAAGCAGCCCAAGAAGCAGCAGAGGCAGCGGCAAAGCAGAGCTCGCAAGGCTGACACGAGGGAAGCATCATCATCAACAAGAACATCACCATCATTGTCATCGAAAGTAGCCACGCCTGTTCGCCACCGCCGCACAACCAACACACGCGTAAAGCAGAAGCAGCCAAAGGTGGGGGTGCGGCGTGTTTGGATGTGTGCGCGTGTTTATCTGTGTGGTTGGAGTTCTGCTGAAGAAGTGGACTGTATCCATTCCCACTCAACTCATACACCACCACCACCACCACCACCACCACCACCACCACCATCATCATCATCATCATCATCATCATCATCATCATCATCATCATCATCATCACCATCATCATCACCATCATCATCATCATCATCATCATCATCATCATCATCATCATCATCATCATCATCATCATCACCACCACTAGAAGGAGCGGGTGAACCAGCACGGCGAGACGGCGCTGCAGGTTGCATGCAAGAAAGGGCAGTTGACGCGTGTGCAGGAGCTGTTGACAGCCGGCGCCAACGCCAATCACGCCGACCACGCAGGCTGGACGCCTCTGGTGGGGGGATGCGCGCTGGTGTAGCAGACGGGTGCTTGGGAGGGGAGGTGGGAGGGGTGGAAAGGGGAGTGGTAGTTGTGATTGTGTGACGAGGTGGTCGGGAGAAGGTGATTGTGAGTGACTTGGACGCGACATGACTGTATCTCACTTCCACATACACACACACACACGTATACCCAAACACATGAGCACACATGCACATGCACATACACATGCGTACTCGCACACACGCACACACACACGCCTACACTCACACACATACACACATACACATCACATCGCAGCATGAGGCGTGTCAGATTGCATCAGAGCCTATTGTGTGGGCGCTGCTGGATGCTGGTGCGAATGTGAACGCCACTGCCACCATTGAAGGCGACACACCCCTGCATGACGCAATTTGCGCAAATGCACCAGAGATTGCGCTGGTGAGCGACAGCAACATGCACACGCGCTGATGACATGTGTTCGTGTGCGGGCTTGTACATGTATGTATGCACGCGCGAATCAACCCGACTCATACGTATGTTTGTTACGTTACCACGCACCACCACAACTAACAACATACCACTTCGATCATCACATCGCCCTCACGACCGCCGTGTGTGTCGTGTTGTGTCTGCGCAACAGCTGTTGGTGGAGCGCGGTGCGCGCGTCGATGTGAAGAATGCACAGGGTCACACCCCCTTGGACGTCTGTCCAAACGAATCCCTCAAGCAGTCCTTGACCGCGGCAACGACGACGACCACACACGCAACAGAGCCAGCAACACCAACAACACATCCAACAGGTGGCGCGGGTACAGCAACAACAGCAACAGCAACAACAACAACAACAACAACAACAACAACAACAACAACAACAACAGCAACAACAACAGTAGCATCAAGCTCAACGTCAGGTGGTGGTGGGCGCGGTGCGTGCGAGAGCGTGGAGTCAGCGCCGCTGTTTGGACCAGGGGGCACGCTCGTGCTCTTTGATGGTGCCGATGGTGCCGATGATGATGATGACGGTGAAGGTGAAGGTCAAGATGGTGATGGTCATGACGGTGATGATGGGGATGAACCAGACGTGGAGCCGTCGAGCTTGCCGGTGAGCTGAAGCGTGATGGAGGTTCACACCTGCTTGCTTTTGGGCGCGCGCGTGTGTGTGTGTGTGTGTGTGTGTGTGTGTGTGTGTGTGTGTGTGTGTGTGCGTGCGTGCTGACACTTCAACCACTCCTCACGTCTTTCCCTTCCATCACATCATCATCCCCCCACACATGACACGCAAC